AGCTAAGGTACGTGCACGTGTAAAAACTGTATTTTGCTGCCAACCAAAGAAGATCTTCAACACCTTATAATTGTTTTGAAATGTCTCGCCTCATGAACACGTTCCTTATTTCAATATTGTATTCAGTTCCACACATGGCTGTACACAACATTTATATATTTTACATGTATACGACGGCTACATGGGCAGGGATAACGGTAAACACAAACGTGTGTTTATTTAACATTTTTGAGTGTTGAAACACGTATTATTTTAAAGGGAAATATAAACAATCATTTAGTCTGGTCGGGTTACTAACTCTGACTATTGTTTCCTGAATAAAATATTATTTACTTCAGATATACCTCTTATGTTTTGGTGTCATGTGACACCAGATGTTGTTATCAACCAATACTCCTGTATAGAAATATGAAACATCAATGCTTGAGAATGCTAGTGAATAACCAATTTCGATTTGCCAACAAAACAAATTCCTGACAACGTTGACAATAGCGGTAAGAATATATTCATGGATCAGTGATGACCAAGTTGTTTGCAAAAGGAAGCTGTTGCCTCAGATGAATAGATGAAGTTATGCCGAAACAGTAAGCTCTTAAAACTCTTGTTTGCCAGCTTGGACCATGTCAATACATCATGTATGAAATGTATGTACATGTTGAACGCATTGACAGACAGTATTATTATCTTGAACGAATTCTGCAAACGAAGTAGACATTTGGGATTCCATTTATGCACAGGAAGATGTTTCATTTATCAAAATATGCCTATGTTTGTTTGAAGGGAACGTGTTCTTCACCGACTTTGCTGCAGACTTCAATGCAGGGTTGGAGTACACAAAAACTATTCAGAGACAATCAATTTAATTAATTAATCAGTGTAACTACCAGTGCAAATAAAGAATGTTTATTATAACATGTCATTGTGTGTTTATGCGAATTCTGATTGGCAAGCGCTACATGTTTCGACTCAAACCGTAATAAACGCGAGAATGCGAGATCGCGACACCTGACCAATGTTGCTATCTCGCGATCTCGCGTTCTCGTGCTTTTGTGTCAATTGCCATTTCAGTCATATGCAACTCTTTTCAAAAACGCGAGAACGCGAGATTGCGACCCTTGACCAATGTCGCGATCTCGCGTTCTCGTGCTTTTGTGCCAATTGGCTATGCAGTTATATGTAACTATTTTCAAAAACGCGAGAACGCGAGTTTGCGACACTTGACCAATGTCGCCATCTCGCGATCTTGTGCTTTTGTGTAAATTGCTTATACAGTTAGTAGAACGCGAGATTGCGAAACTCGACCAATGTCGCGATCTCGCGTTCTCGCGTTTTTCTGCCAATTACCTGGACAGTGACCTAGTGGCTCAGTCCTCTGAGGCGTCGCAATTCGCTGTGTACGTAAAGTTGCGTCCCTTGGGCGTGCCAGAAACCTATGATGGTGGGTTTCGTCCCATTTAAAGCTGACAAGCCAGGGAATAACTGAAATATAAATACTGTTCAAAGCGGTGTTGAGCCAAACTCACTGACTTATTCAGAGCCATGCCGGTCCCCCAGGCTGGATATTGGGGGTACTTACTCAGTATAAAGATGTTATTGTTTTCTTGTCGAACCATTTAAGGCATCTGTGAACAATTGCTGCAACATGCGTGTTCAATGGGGCTACGTGCACGGAGTAGGAACACACATATTAGCGATATTTCTATTCTAGGAAGTTTGAGGCAATAGAATAATGTAAGGCGGGATGTTTTGTAGTCAGGTGGGAAAGGATGATAATCTATTAATTAATTTTGTATGGCCTAAAGTAGTGACTATGGTGTCGTGTAAAAACATCGGACAAGCTCATTTTAGCAGAATGCATATGCTACTAATTGGTCTTGGAGAATTTTGTTTTAATGAATAATAATGTGATTATTTCTGTAACTGATACAGCAATACTGCTGATGTGGCTTTAAGTAATATTAAACTGACAGTGATATATATTGTTTCCAGCTTCCTCACACTTTAATGTTTTCACTATCCATGAACATTCATGTACACAATTTCTTTTGTTAAATTATGTTTAGCATGTTGAGGGTTTTAAATTAAAGTACACAGAAAACAGCACCAAAGGGAGAGGAGTCTACTCTACTCTACATGGGTCTTTGTGTATGTAAATTACATGATAGCATTTTCAAGCTCAAGTCATACATTTTCTAAATGCTACTTGGAGAATGAAGAGCATGATAGAAGCATGACCACTGTGCAGGACTACTAATGTGCGCATGCGCCTTGTCTTATGATATCACGCATGCGCACGGACAGCGTCTAAAAAACTAGAACACGAGAACGCGAGATCGCGAGAAAATAAATTTTTCAACATGTCCAAATGTCGCATTCTCGCGTTGTCGATTTTTGACAAAAAGTGTTATGTATCAAAAACACGCATTCTCGTGTTTTTGGCATATTTAGCTCGTTTCCAAAGGTCGAGATCGCGAGAATGCGAGATCGCGAGAATGTCCCTGTCAGTATTACATAACTACCTGTAGGAACATATTGTTTATACTCGTCCATGTTTAATATATATAATTTACATGCTCGGAAATAGTGAGGACGGGCATCATTGTGTGTTTCCGTGCTTTGTTCAGGTGAACAATTGACTTGTCCTTGCATATGTTTGTGATGGATGCCACCCGTCTGGCAGAATACGCTCACCTTTTCGCGAACACCCGTTGGATGGCCTGAACCACTTCGGATTTTTATCCCACATCAGTCTGATACACCGTGATATAACTGAAATACTTTTCAAAGTGGTGTTTAATGCGATCACCGTTGTGTGTTACTGCAACTTTCCAAATTTTGTGTAGTGATGTTATGTAATATGTAAAATAAAGCATATTCAATTATCCAATTGATTAGAATATACTTGCGTCAGTGTATTTTATGAACTCCCAAAACCGTGTTTGTTAAACACATATAATAACAGATCATATACGCGCATGGTGCCTTGACTTACTATTAGCTTTAATAGGCCATTCCGGAATAAAATAGTTCCCCCAAAAGCGAGGAACATCTGTTTTAGTTTGTTTACAAGAAATATATTCCAAAAAATATCCTCATTAGATGAGTAGGTCTGTTAAGAACTACCTCAGTAAGTCAATCACAATGACAGAGCGTCGTAATACATTATATTTACATCAAGTACAAGACGTCAAAATGGCCGACACGATAAACATGACAGGAGATATTTCCAAAGTTGTTAATTAGCCTGTGGCGATTTCAAGTGTTTGTGATCACTGATCAATTGGCCGATCATTGAAAGGTGATTGTAAAGATGTGTCAAATAGATACTAAGGTAATTTCATAGATTGCTGTAGATTGTCACTACGATAGTTTGGATTTTTGGGATTTATTTCTCTAGGATGGGTTGTAGCGAGGGTATCCTTGAACGGGCATGCAACCAAACTCTATGAATAATCTCAGAGTATGCTAAGACGCTACGTTCAAAATTAAAGGGTCTAAATGATGAGAAACAACGCTTCTGTATGAATTCGTACTAGGAAATTCCCAGGGATTTCCCCAGGAATGTGGAAGTAGTCAGTGCTTACGTAATTTCAAGAATACAGTCACGTGAAAAACGTCATGTGACCCACCTCTCGTCCTATGGAAAAGCCGTATATCGTGTAAACTTCACATTACAAAATTAGTTACTGTTATAACTAAATGAAACACAACCCATTGTCCGATAGGGGTAACTGTGCATAGCGGAGAGATGTATTATCTCAATAAACTTGGTACATGGTTTGGTTTGACTTCTTGGCGCGTGTCTGAATTCCATTAACATGTTACATATCCTTAAACTGACTAATCAGCAAATCTCGCTGCGCGCGACAGATACTAGAGCAAGGCATGCCATAAATACGAAACCTAATGCTTCCGAAAGGAAGCCTTCTGCATCACGTGCGTCGGGGGACCAGCGCCATCTGATTGGCCGTTAACAGTTGTACAAGGCGGAGCAAAAAGCATCGTTTTTCCGTCCATTTTACGCTTGAAAAACTCGACGCTTTTCCGGACACTTTCTAGACGCTAACCAATTAATCAATTTTAATGAATTTTTAGTCGTTTTTCCGTCCAATGACCAAATACGGAAAAAAACGACGTTTTCGTGTTTGCGGTGATAGACAATAACTTTTGGTATCTCGGGAGCCACAATAATCTTCAACATGCAATTATATGTACACTATCTAGTTTATAAAACTGCCCCTGAACAACAAGTTCATTGATGTTGGCTGATGAAGCGAGCCTGACCACCCGATCCCGTTAGTTGCCTCTTACGACAAGCATAGTCGCCTTTTACAGCAAGCATGGGTTGCTGAAGATCTATTCTACCCCGGATCTTCACGGGTTCAGGGCGGTATGTAATATGACGTGTCGAGCAGTTGTTTCAATCATTAAAGTTTGTTTGTCGATTAACGCCGCACTCAGCAATATTCAAGCTATATGACGGCGATCTGTAAATAAACGAGTCTGGACCAGACAATCCAGTGATTGACATCGTGAGCATCGATCCACGCAATTGGGATCGATGACATGCATCAACCAAGTCAGCGAGTCTGACCACCCGATCCCGTTAGTCGCCTCTTACGACAAGCATAGTCGCCTTTTACAGCATGCATGGGTTGCTGAAGGCCTATTCTACCCAGGATCTTCACGGGTCCAGTCATTAAAGACCAGGGGTATTCGTGATTTTTTAACCTAAACTATTATGGCGAATGGGTACTGTTCTTAAAATAACAAGAATATAGCACACTGGTAAAACGAGGATGACACACGGGATATGAACAGCTTTTCAATAGTGGAGTGTCAAGTGGAGGGCGGGTAAAACGACATGGTCTCAACCTTGGGCACAATTCGGCCTCAGCGCTCACACACTGAGCAGAATACAGTCACGGGACACTGGAGGACCCTCGTATCTTGTATTTGCATTTGTGGGGTGTCTTTGAAACATTGCCTCTACATTGTAGGGAATCCCAGCGTTCACACATGACGATATGGGATTACGAGGAGGAGGTCTGAAGGTACGTTCGCAATTGTGCGAGAATATCAAAACCTTTATAAATTCTCTTTTCCTGTATGTCACCTGGCTCTCTCTATCTCTAAAGTTTATACGAAAAGGTCAGTTATAGCTATCCAAACTTCTGAGTGTTTGTTTGTTGTTTAACGCGGCACTCAGCAAAGTGGTAAAACTGAGAATGGTGAGCAAAATATTTAATAAAAGTGTAAAAGGAACAGGCACAGACAAATTATGTCATTAACTACATATGATGGTGGTGGTGGTGGAATGGGGTTTAACGTCGCGTCCAAGATTATTGCACTTATATAGCGACGTGCATGTACGTGTGTGTGTTGTGTTTGTCCGGACTGATGCCGATTTATAGTGCTAGCCAACTGAGATACCATGCCGCAGTTTAACATGAATACCCCACTCAGACACAGTATACTGACTCCGAGCCGACCAGTCCTTGTTTTAGCCCCTTGATGCCGAGCGCCAGACATGGTAACAACAAGTACCATCTTTTAACGTCTTTTGGTATGACGCGGTCGGGTATCGAACCCCGGACCTTCCGCTCTCCGGGCGGACGCTCTACCACTAGACCGCGGAGGCAGTTAACTACATATGATACAATGTTCAAAATACACTTGCCAAAAAAAAACGCATAACAGAATAATGAAGATACAACAACCAAATTTTACAGAGGATGAGGCACATGTTTCGTACACTACAAACAGTATTTTAATGTTCTAAGGGGCGTCTGTGTCTGTGATGGCACTGTGCCAAAGTCAGTACCTGGTGTTACCACCACGAGCATCGATCACAGCTCTGCACCGCCTGGGCATGGACTGTATGAGTCGTCGAATCTGGCGTTGTGGAATCCTTCTCCACTCATCCTGCAATGCATGGCTCAGCTGTTGAAGCGTCTGTGGTTGAGGCTGTCGGCGTCGTACACGTCTGTCTAGCAGATCCCACAAATGTTCAATGGGGTTTAGATCTGGCGATTTGGAGGGCCATGGCAGCACAGTTACATTGTTGTGGGCAAGATAATCCATGGTAACACGTGCAGTATGCGGTCTTGCGTTGTCTTGCTGGAAAATCTCTCTTCTGACGTCAATGGCGGGAATAAGCAGTTAAATTTCGCTGCACGTGCACCAGATCTGTCCTACCAATCACGGATATGCCTGCCCACATCATTACACTTCCACCGCCGTATCGGCCGTGAATACAGTGTCGAGTGTAGCGTTCATTTCTCCGTCTGTAGACACGCATCCGACCATCATGGCGATACAGCATGAACCGCGACTCATCACTGAACCATATCCTTCTCCAGTGCACTAGGGTCCATGGTCGTACATTTCTGCTCCGTTGCAGACGTGCAGGACGATGATGTTGCCGCAGAACGGGCGCTGTATATGGTCTCATTGGCCGTATCTCATGCTGTCCAGGAACATTGTTAGTTGTGTATGCTGCACTGATTGCAACACTCGGATGAAGCGGTCCTGAGCCGCAGTTGTGACCCTGGGTCTTCCACTTCTCGGTCGATCTCTTGTAGAGTTGTGTAGTCTGTAGCGCTGCCACAGACGAGAAATGGTACTCTGCTCACGTTAAAGTGCCTGGCTTCTGATGTCTGACTTTCTCCAGCTTCCAGGCGTCCAATGGCTCTGTTTCCACAGTCTTCATTCAGTCTTGGCATCATGAAAGTCACGTACACAGAACATCGGAGAGTGATTCGCAGCAGGACTGCCAAATTTTTATACCCATCGGATAAAGGTTAAGTAGTCGTATTTGCACGTGCAGCATGCTTACAGCTTTTTCGCCATGCAATTTCTCCCAGTTTGGTTTCAAGATGCTGTATTTTGGCGACAAGTCACCAAATGTTGTGTTCGGGTGCAATAAGTGTAATTAGTGTAAGGTCAATATTCACAGTTAGCAATGACATTTATATTGAGTTCAAGCCTTCATCATTAATAACAGTCAAGTTTGAAAAACAGATTTCAGCTATGTGTTTCTTTTTTGGTCAGTATACAAGAAACGGTTTTTAAATCACTGCAAAACATTTGGATACTTGTAAGGGTTCATTGGTGCAGGTTGTATAAACATATTTTTTAGATAATGGTGGCTGTTTGCTGCCAATGACTATAATGATTACATAAATCAATAATGATAGGACCCGTGAAGATTCCGGGGTAGAATAGATCTTCAGCAACCCATCCTTGCCGTAAAAGGTGACTATGCTTGTCGTAAAAGGCATCTAGCGGGATCGGGTGGTCAGGCACGCTGACTTGGTTGATACATGTCATCGATCCCAAATGCGTGGATCGATGCTCATGATATTAATCACTGGATTGTCTGGTCCAGACTCGATTATTTACAGACCGCTGTCATATAGCTGGAATATTGCTGAGTGCGGCGTTAAACAACAAACCAACCAACCAATAATTATAGATAAAAGATAGATATATTATTGCATAATTTAAGTTTCAAATATCCGAAAAAAACATTTTAGACACATCAGCGCATAATAAATTTTAGTTTAAATACCTGTTCAAGGATACACATACCAACTGCAATATTTCATCTTGTAAATTGAAAACAATATATTCATACCAATTTTCAATCACTTTTATGATGGTTGTATTATTACTGCAGTATCTACATACAGTTTGCCTTGCCAATGATCATACGATTTTAGATATGGCTCATTCTTAATTTCAATACACCTTGCTTTGTATGTTTTCAGATTCTAAACTGATGTTTAAAGTTCGACCACACACACATTAATAATGCTTTTATTTTGTCTCTTTACATCAATAGATACGGCCTTTGCACAATGTTATAATTTCATGTGATATTTTTGTATACTTGTCCTTGTGTATTAGTATTAGATTACACTACCCGTGAAGATCCGGGGTAGAATAGGTCTTCAGCAACCCATGCTTGTCGTAAAAGGTGACTGTGCTTGTCGTAAAAGGCGACTAACGGGATCGGGTGGTCAGCTCGCTGACATGGTTGATGCGTGTCATCGTGTCTTTCGTAAAACAAACCAACCAACTAACATTTTATTTCTATTGTGAATACCCTCAGGTTTCTCATTAAGTTGTGAAAATAAAGAATATAAGAACCAATAATACACTTAAAATAACAACATCGCTCATAAGACATTGTTTATGTATATATGGGCAGAGTACAGATGGCGGCTTGAATAGTCAATTATCCTATAGGTTCGTTTTACCAGCTTCCTTTTCGAGTAGTCATAACGGGAATATTCATACAATTTCAGTTATATCACAGCGTGTCAGCTTGATGTGTGTGTGTGTGTGGGGGGGGGGGGGGGGGGGGTCCGAAGTGATACAGGTCTTATCAATTGTACGTAAAACCTTTCAAAATTAGGTTCCTTTCCAAACTAAATCCAGTTTGAATTTATCAATTATGTTGAATCCTGAATTTTATTCTCCGAAATTAAACATATAAATATATATTCCAGTTTCCAAGGTCCGATACAGCTGTGTGAAGGTTTCTTCTTGCTTATTCACCTCGAAAAATTCGTTTCATTTCAATACGGTCAAAGGTATGTTTGTGGTAAGAAAAGAGGAATTAATTTGTATATAGATAACATTTACCTAAAGGTAAACCTTCAATATTTACTTCATGTACACTGTAAGAGGCGAGGCATTAATGTACACTGTGCTGTCTCTAATCACCACTGTATCAATGGACTTCCCACGCTATGTTTGTGAAAGAAAATTATTGGGCGTACATCAATGGTCATGCAAGAGTGATGAGTGATGATGTTGGACAATCGGCCAAGTACCTGGTAACCTGCCGGATCTTATATACCTGCATAGTGTACCGATACTTCCCCGAAATCACAAGTGCTTCATTCGAGTTCACTCGGCGTCGATAAACACAGAGATTTGTCCTTACTTTGCCACCACACCTCATGGCATCAACACTTTCTATGTTTATACAAGCACAGGGATCATAAAATATTTGCTTCCTTTTGGGAGTCATTATACGACTCCTTGGACCGCCTCAGTGGTCTAGTGGAAGAGCGTCCTCCTGGAGAGCGGAAGGTCCGGGGTTTGATCCCCGGCCGCGTCATACCAAAAGAGTGAGTGAGGGAGTATGATTTTACGCCGCTTTTGGCAATATTCCAGCAATATCACGGCGGGGGACACCAGAAATGGGCTTCACACATTGTATCCATGTCAGGAATCGAACCCGGGTCTTTGGCGTGACGAGCGAACGCTTTAACCACTAGGCTACCCGACCGCCCCACATACCAAAAGACATCCAAAGATGGTACTTGTTGTTACCCTGTCTGGCACTCGGATTAAGGGGTGAGAACAAAGACTAGTCGACTCGGAGTCAGTATTGTGTCTGAGTGGGGTATTCATGTTGAACAGCGGCATGGTATCTCAATGGGCTAGCACTATAAAATCTGCATTAGTCCCAGATAGTACAAGCACACGCACACACACACACACACACACACACACACACACACAAACGTGCATGCACGTGGCTGTATAAGTGCAATAATATGGACGCGACGTTAACCCCCGTCTCATCCCACCAGAATCATAATCATCCTCATTCGCCGCACTGAAATCACCATCAGCCATGTTCTGACAGGTGGATGCTTGTCTGTAGGGTGTATGTGTTGTTTAAGAGTATTTTGCTTTAATGAGTGAGTGGGTGAGTTGGGTTTAACGCCATTTTTAACAGTATTCCAGTTATATCACGGCGTGTCAGCTTAATGTGGGAGGAAAGCCGAAGTGATGCAGGTCTCAGACGTTTACCACTTCGGTGAAACCCACGAGCACGGGTATGGTGCTGACAAACCTAGAAACATAATTGGGGCGAACCGGGATTCGAACCCACAATCATAGGTTTCTGGCGTGCCCAAGGGACGCAACTCTGCACAGCGAATCGCGGCGCCTTAGACGACTGGGCCACCCGTGCCCCCCAGCTTTAATGACATGGATGACAAGAATATGAAGAACACATATTCTGACATTA